CTTCAAATACAGTACATACACTGAAAAAACAAATTAATTTGATTCGAGAGAAAATTCTTAAATCAAGAAAATAATTTTGAAGAGGATAATTTTTTTGAATCAAGACGAAAAATTCTTGAATCAGGAAAAATTTCCTTAAATCAAGAAAAATGTATTAGGTCAACAATTTTTCTACTCAAATCAAGAAGATTAAGTTCTTCAAAATTATTTACTTGATTCAAGAACATTTTTTTACTGTGTACAGAAATAAAATTTGATAGAACCTCAAGAAAAACAGGAAATTCCAGAAATAGCCTCCACGGTCAACCGATTTGAATATTTTTTTTTCTTAATAATTAGATATCAGCTAAATTTAGGAAGTAAAAACGAGAAAAATCACGAAAAATATGTTGTTTTATGATTTTAAACCGTTTATTTGTTAAAAAGTATAAAAAATTGTGAAAGTCATCGTATATTATTTTAATTTGAACTTTAACTGCGAATAACTTTTAACCGAGTTGACGTAGCGAAAAATTATATCTGACCTTTTTTGTAGGCCGTTTAATTTCCTACAAAAATATCTGTTTATTTTTACCACACAATAACTCGTTGAGATACATCAAAATTCCAAAAAAAAAAAAAAAAATTCCCGTGTTATTTAAATGGGAAATCAAAAATCACCACGTGACACCTCTAGATATTGCTAGTAATTGATATTAAGAGCTCAAACTCTACCAGAATTTTTTTTTCGTCATCTTGGACGATATTTTCGCGGTAGCTAATGAAAAAAAAATTAAAAGTTTTTTTTGGCCCACCCTAATAGATATGTATGTATAATCGTATTGTGTGTAAGCTTTATTAAGACGAAAAATGTGGTCATTTAAAAATTATCAATAAACTAAAATCAACTTGATACTTATAATCTTTCTTAAAGCATGAATTCTCAGTAAGAGTAATTCCCATATACTTATAGTCATTGGTAGTGATTGTATTTATATGTCTTGTCAAGACTTAGCAATATATTTTTAATGATATTGGTCTTGGTCTTGAATTGTCATCTATAATATCGTCTTGATAAGTCTTGATAAGTCAAGACAAGACTAATATAATCTCGATCTTGAGTGAAGCCCTACTCACATACATAGAGCCGCACGGACACCATAGCGGGAATAGTCAAAACAGCTTCCTAGAACCTCAAAATGTCGAGATCTTATGAAAACTCGATTTTCGCAAAACGTGATAAGACCAATAGCTTCCCGAATTTTACAAAATTTTCAATTTTTCTTAGCGGGAAGTTAAAAGTTTTCAGACTGTACTTTTATAAGATTTTCAAATTTTGACTTTAAAATGTGGATTTAAAAAAAAACCCGTAGCGATCGATTTTCTTGAAAATTTTTCCTAACAAACTGTCACTTATCCCTCAACTTTTAAGCTAAGTCTTTTAATAAGCAATCGATACGATCTATTTTTTTTTTCAATTTTAAAAATTTTATGTTCAGTGAAAAAGAAGATTTTATGTAAATTTTTGTTTTTAGACACACTTTTAGGAAAAGAAAACGATGTGAAATTTTCTAAATCAACTTTCCATAACATTTTGTAACGGGGTGGTTAACCCTGTTCAATTGGTCACCCCTTTCCTTATGAAAAGGGCGCCACTGGGATTATTTTCGCGGTGTCCCAGGAACCGGAAGAGCACGAGCAGGAAAGCGGGTCGTGAGAAGTTGGGTCAAGGCTGAAAAAATTAATACTGAGGACAATTTTATAAATCAATAAAATTTATTGAACAACAAATGAATTTTATAATCAACAAAATTAACGAAACTGCTTTACAGTTTCTATCTTAATACAAATTTTCGAGAAACGCTTCCTCAACCAGGCACTTGCCAAAAATCCTTATAAACTAAATATCAACTAACTTCTTTACACATAGATCATTACGCATCTATCTTCTTAGTTTCTAAATTCAATTCATAGACCGTTACGCATCTATCCTTAAATTCCTACTTCCTCGTCCAACTGAGGGAATAACTACAACATAATTTTCCAAATACAACTCCTTAATTATTCAATTATCTAAATCACTAACAAACTAAAATTCCGATTTTTATCTCAACATGATACACAAATCTTCAGTAAACTCTCCACATATCACTCGGTTTCACCAAATTTAATATCCCATAAAATTCTTACTGACTAACTTTATTTCAAAATTCTTCTTGAATAAAATTTCGACCAATTTTCTTAATTAAATTTAATTTTCCAAATTAATTAAATTTCCAAATTTCTTTATCAAAATCTCTCATAATTTTCCTTAAATTCAGTCAATTATTCAATAAGCTCATTTACCAATTCTCTAAATCAATTAACATACTTAAATTTAGCCACCGGCCTAAATTTAAGTCTTCAAACTTACAATACTAACATAACTTCTAAATTCAACGCCAGCATTTATCTAATTGCAAATAATTCTTCTTACATTAACTAATCCCAAAAATTCCTATATTAATTAAAATTTCCTGCTAAAATTTCCAATTAATAAATTTCCAGAACTCAATTAAATCACTAAAATTTCTCATCTCTACTCAATATACTTCATCCAAAATTCACTAATTAATCGTCTTAACAATTAAATAATTCCCAGATTAAATTCTATGAAATTAAATTAGCCACCGGCCTAAATTTAATTTTCTTAACAATTCCTAACCATCAATCATTATAATCTTAAGCGTCTCAGAACAAAATTCTAATTATCGAACCTTCTGGACAATCCACACTACTTAACTGCGCAATACTTTTCTTATTAATTTTTCTTTCTTTTTGGTTTGAAAATTATTAATTAAATTGATTTATTATAGCCAAGAGGCCTATTATAAATTACTAATTTATTCAATTTCCATATATTTATAAATAATTCCCTAAATTTCATTCCTTTCTTTATAATTTATCAATGACAAGCTAGCTAATTGACCTTGACAAGAACCTCAAGTACGAAACTTGCTAACATAGAATGGCCGCTCGAGAATTAAATTTTAATTATTTTGGCCTCTTAATTTATTAAATAAATAGTTTGGCCTAAAATAACCAAAAATACCTGACAAATCAAACCGGTACTCCAGCGATGAATTATTTTCCCAGCAGACAGAAATGGCGGGATCAGCTCCACTGCTTTACTGACTTCCAAAGTCCCAGAACTCGTGTCACCAAATTACTCTCAGCTTTCAATCTTATCCTCGATGAATTTATAAATTCCAGCAAATAAATATCTTGATTTAACAAAGATCGCCAGCCCAATGGCCTAACGGCAAGTAATTTTATATAAAAAATACAAGACAATAAAAATTAATCGCTTCGTTCCACTCGTGAAGCCTTAAGAAATCAACTACTTACTTTTATCAGCAAATATCCCTCGCTGGACAACAGTTATTCACGTACTCGCAAACAGACACTCGAAGAAAGATGATCTCGACATAACACCCGGCGTTTTTATAACCTCTCCTCGTGCTCTCGAACCTTCCCATTGTTCGCTCCCGCGCTTCATTTTCCGGGGACAGCAGTGGGGACTCAGCGATACGTACGACCCGGTGACGAGTCGCACAACTACTTTGTCGCGCTCCGAAGGTAAAGAGTAGCTCCTACTCACCACGACACGATAATCAAAACTAATTCCCGCGGGAATTTAAATTCCCTGTCACAATTTTCAAGCATGTTACGATAGAATTTGAGTTTTTTGAATTTTGAAATTTTTTGTTTTACTTATTTATGTCAAAAAATGTCTTAAATCATGATATTTTACGTCAATGCTACTTTCGAGGATTATATTTATTCATTATTTCCAGAATTCGAATCTATAGAGATCCAACCTGTATGAAAATAAAATATATTTAAAAAATATATTATTCCTTATATTTTTGCAAGATAAAAATATAAGAAATAATATATTTATGAATATATGATATCATATAGTTATTTTGGCCGCTTTTTTATACAATCATATATTGACAAAAATATATCAATTCCTTATATTGAAATTATATTTTTATTACATAATTTATAATATATAGTGAGAATATATTTCACAAAATATATCATATTATATTCAATTCAATATATGGTAACATATATAGTATACACTATATTGTGCAATATTAATAAATCATATTATAGGGCATGTGTTATCAAATTAACCTAAAATTGCCTGCAATCTCATTTTACGTTAACAGAAAATTTCTAGATGCCAGATACCAAAATTTTTCACTAAAAAAACTTCAGTTATGCTGAAAATTATTCTTAGGGAGATATTAGTTGTTTCTGAGCAAGAGAAAATTTTCTACTAGCAATTACAGTAACTTTTATTTCAAAATATTGTCTTCAACCAAGAAAATCAGTTCTTTGAATGTAAAGCCTTACCCAAGTTATCATGAACACCGAACTCATGACGAGTTAATTGAACGCTCGCACGATGGATTTATATTTGCTGAAGGAGTAATGAAAATGTATAGTAATTAGAACAGAATACATTATTTTTATTAAAAGTAAACATCACAAATTAAGATTATAAGTAAACATCACTTGCGAAAATCAAAAAATAATTATAATTATCAACATTATGCAAATTAAATCAAAACTTTTTGACAGCAGAGCAATAATTATACGTTTTCTCCATTATTCATTTCCAGCTGGATCCTGTAAAATTAATAATTATAATTAATCTGTATTATTTTATTTTGTAAACATAAAATTTAAATACAAAGAGAAATAGAAATGAAAACAATAGACCATTTCCTGAGCAGCAGCTCTATTTTTTCTCTGAAGACTCTGCAAGGAGTTGTTAATTGCCGAGCCAAAGTGAGATTTTCTAAAATCAGGAAATTTCGCTCGTACAGCTTCTGCAATTAGAAATTAAATAACAAAAATTGGACTACCCATTGAACATGGAAGCTACTCCTTAATCTTTTTTTTTACTTTCAAGTTCAAAATTAAACTTATTAGAGAAATTTTGAGCTTTCCGGGCACAAACTCAATCATGGTTTACCAGTAATAGCCGTTACAATGTGGGGGTTCAACGCAGATCTTTTAGGAGCATTTTTATCTATTTTGCTGAGACCACCTCTTAGGTTACTTTCCAGCAAAACTTCTGTGTCGAATAGTGCATGAATTAGTGAAACACCCATCGACCAGTAAGTATCTCTAGAGTTTGCTGTATCCCATTGCTGCTGAGTGACAAACACGTTTGACCCTTGGTGACCAATTTCAACCTTTAAAGAGAAAAAGAACTGAATATCAAAAAGCTTGCAAATATTGTAAATTTTAAAAAATGTTGAATTTTCGGAAAGTTGAAAATTTAATTTCTTATTGTGATACTTGGAGCAGATACTCTATTTTTCTTACTTGTTGATTGGTTTGTCTAGCTGGATTAGCTTCTTGAGCTCTTAACATGTTAAGTTGGACTCTTTTAACCAATTTTATGTCTTCGGATGACAAGTTTAGCAATATCTGCTTCAATGATCGGTCGTCTGAAAGTAATTTATGCATTTGATAAATTATTTGATACTCTCATGTACGCAGATAAAAATTTTATTCCTAACGAAGAATTTTTCTTCCTATTTATACTTAATTAAATTAAGTAGAATATAAGGGTAAGAAAGTATTAAAGCACTGAAAAATGTTTCGAATGTTTTGGAGTCAAAGAAAATGATCTTCAGCAAATATAATTATGAAAGAATTCATTTCTTACTCCAAAATATTTTTTTGAACCAAGAAAATTAGTTTTTCAACGAAGTATTTTTTATTAGTGTGTGGTTCGTTGAATCATGACGAAAATATAAATGAAAAACTAAAATGTTTTGAGGTAGAAGAAGAAAAGAATTATGTCAAACAAAGGAAGTAAAAAGAAAAAAAGTACTTCGTTTTAGATAATTTCAGTCTTCGTGAATGGTTTTTTTTTTATAGAGTAAGTTCAATATCACCTTCAGGATGTGATTGGTCATTCACAACATCATCAAAGTTATCTGAATCGTGAGATTCCAAATCCGGTGTTTTTTCTCTGGGAACATTACGATGACTAGTCTGGCCATGTGGATACACTTCTGAACTCACAGTAGTCGGTTTTGATTTTTTGACAACTGGAGTTTCCTAATTATAAAAAAAAATCAACTTTAATCGATAAAATTTTCAACCAGAATTTAATAATTAAAGATTAATTTAAGAAAAAAATTACGTATGATGTTGAAGTTCGTGAGGTTTCGTCTTTGCTTCTCTTTCCCTTTCCTTGTTTTTTATCGTACTCAAACTCCAAATTTCTCTTGCCTGAATGTTCAATAGATTCATTATCAGGACGTTCTGGACGAAGAGGAGAAACATCACCGTCTAGTAAATCGAGTTCCCTTTCCAGTGACTTAAGATTATCTTAAACGGAAACAGATGAATTAAAAACCAGATCAAAGTAAGAGTCATGAAAAAAATCCGTAGTTGCTAGCATTTTTAACCTATACATAAGCAGTAGATCAGATATTCTATTATAAATTAGATGAGAAGATTACGATGTGACTATTATGACATAATGAAGAAGAATAATGAATATATCTGAAGTATACGGCGATGAAAAAATTTCCTAACCTATTTCTTGACAGAAATGCACTGGAAGTTCAAAGCAACCTGTGTAAGTTCTTTTGAAATTTTTCAGCGTATTTTTACATAAAAAAATAGGTTAGTTGACTTGTTGTTGAGAGCAGTTCACCAGTATGCTTAACAGATTATGATTGAAAAAGAAGACAATAACAATTACGGTTAGACTCGCTCAGAATTAAGAAAAGTTAAAACATTCAGAATCGAAATTTTGAAATTTATCGAAAGATTAAAAAATACTGACTTGAAACTTTTATGACTTTGGCATCGTAGAATTTCCAACCTCGTTTGGGTATTTTGCCGGATTTGCTCTCCCGCCACTGCGCAACATAAGACTGGTCATCGTCTTCAGTGATTGGATTAAAAGTTTCCGCATTAAAATCCAAAATCCAGTTAGCTGGCACACCGGCAGTGTAAGTTTTATCATTAAGCCAGGAGTTAGTCCAACAACTTGAATGGTTTTTGAGATGCATGCCAAAGATTTGTACAAAATCATTGGATTCATCGAGTGTTGCCAGAGCCAGCAGTTACGACAGGAGTATCTAAATCAAATCTGTAACCAAATGAATTACTCATCAAAATTTATTTCAAGTAAATATATAAATTAATAATATCAGTTTTAATTACTTCAATATTGATTTTACCTGTTCGCAACAGAAATAAGGTCCTTGTTGCACGTATTCGACAGAGTAAGCAGAATCTTCAAGGTACAGGTCAAGTTGGACATTTGAAAATTTCACCGTTTTTATTTCAATGAAAGCTACAGTAACAGCTTCTCTGTACGAATGTTTGCTACTACATGTAAGAGGAGCTGAGTTAATTGGATACTTCTGTTATCATAATAATAAAATAATAATAAGATGGTGCACATAAATTCGATGGCATTAATATCACCATGTAAAACTACAAAATTGATAATAGAAATAGCGTTAACTAAAAGTGTTAAACTTATTTTTCCAGGCGTGATTCTACAGCCACCAGAATACTATTATGCAATGGAAGTTTTTCATGAAATTGATGTAGTGTTTGAATAGTAGAGAATCGTATGAAAATCTAACTATTGCCTTGGTCTTCATGACGAAACTTTTGAAAAATTTCGATATATTTTGACTCGGCTCGTCAACTAATTTAGAAAATAATACATATGGCTTAAAAGTTTATATAAGTATGTATATATATATTTAAATAAAAATTACATTCTCCTATCTTTTTATTAAATTTGCTGTTGCATTGGTTATTTTTTTCGAAATTATTGAAACTTTTAATTGATTAAGTGTGTTCTCTATGCTACAATCAAATGGTCCAGTGACTTTCAACTATTGTGTTCTCACAACTCAAAGAGGATTTAAGTTTGCTCATCAATATCATTCTGACTTAAATTTTTGTCAAATAAAATTTTTGACGTTTGCACATATGACAGTGTGATTTTATAGACAAAAATTTCCAGGTATAGTATCATAAGAAATCTATAATATCGATTGAATTAGACTTGTTTTGCAGTCGGTAACGCGGCTGAATTTTTTTAAACGTATGACGTTAGGGAAACATCACGTTTAGACCCTTGAACGATTTACAAATGGCACGCTTGTGATGCTATCGATTTTAGAAGCTTTACATTTTTGAAATATAACGTTTCTTAACATGAACGTTCTTTAGACATCACATTTCTAGCATATACATTTTAGGATTAAGTAACGTTTATGAAAACTAATTTTCGGCAAGTATCACATTTCTTAAATGTGCTTATCTCGATATCAGACGTTTGGGATATTGCACCTTACTAAAAACATTACGTTTTGTATAGTCTCTGTTAGGACTAAGTTGTGGCACCCGATGGCATACAAACGCCATTTTGGCGGAATATTGAATTCAAAATCAACAAAATTTTGCCAAAGTTCCTAATCAAACTATTCAATAAAATATTATGAAACTTGACAAGAATACTCACAAAGTAATTATTATCATTTTAATTCGTCAATTTTTCGAGTATCTCATGAAAAAAAAATAAGTATTCGCGGGTTTTTGCCTGTAAAACTGCCTTGGCTCAGGGTCTGTCAGTTAGCCATGAAAATAAAATTTTTCACAGAGAAATCACCTACGAACGTACAAGGAGGATGATCCTTGATATTGAATGATTATTTCTTTTGGTTTTTTATTTTTTTTAATTAACTAATAACGCAGATTACTTTGTTTATTTATAAAATCCAGTGAGGTTAGAATGAAAACCTAGTTTTCAACAAAACTTTGAAATTTCGATGCTTCCATATGATCTGTCGGAGGGCGCCATCAGCAAATCATTTTGTTGTCTTTTTCGTCGTTAGATGGCTTGCATCAAATGAATTTGGGAAAAACGTTTTCGAGTTTATATTATTTACGCAGCTTGAAGTTCGGACAATAACCTAAGATGCATGAATTTTTTTACTTGTGAAGTAAAATGTAGCCCGCAATACACAATTTGATTTAGCGAAACAGTTGTGTTTTTGAAATAAAAAATTATGAAAATTTATAAAATTAAACATTTGGAAAATTATTAAATTCAAGTGTTCTTTTTCTAAATTATTAATTTTTTGTCAATTACAAACATTTTTTTATGTGTCTTGTGAATAATAAATATAATAGATAACTATATAAATAAGTAACGAATAATTATTAACTTTAAAAATTTCACTTGTAGATTTTTTCATTTTTAAAACAAGCATTTTTTTTATTTTTTAGAAAATTTTTAATTTACTATTATATTTCTTACTGCAATCATTGTTGCGTATATCAGGTGGATACAAAACAGTTAACCTATGATGATACTAAAATTAGCCGACGTTCAAAAATTTTTAATTTTTTTTATTAATTAAATTAGAACTAAAAAAATATTTCTTAAAAATTATACGCATAATTTTTAATATTTTCTCCATGTGAAATTTTTTTTTTCAATTTTTCTTCAATAATTTTTTAATAAAATAAATTACAAAAATTTTCAGACGTCGACTAATTTAATTTTCATAAATTTTCTATAAGGTAAAAGACCCAGTTATTGACACTGACCTAGTTGTTTGACATTCGCAATGTTAGTCTAATTAAAAAAATAAAATGTTCCCAAAAAATCAACTATCGTAAAATTTATAATTCGAAAATTGTATTTATTAATTTATTATAGTTGATTTATTTTTTTTAATTAAATTAAAATTGCAGGTGTCAATAACTAGGCCAGTGTCAATAACTGGGTCTTTTACCTTATGTGAAATTTTTTCTTATTATTTTTTTTTTTTAATTTTTCTATAAAATAAATTACAGAAATTTTTAGATGTCAGCTAACTTAATTTTTATTAACCTATGAGAAATACATTGATGATTAGAATAATATATGTATATAAAAAAGTTACTCAAAATCATTAATTGAAAAAAAAGTACAATTGCAGATTTTTTCATTTTCTAAACAAGCATTTTTTTAATTTTTTTGAAAATGTCATTTTTTCAAAAATCGATCAATGCCTGCTAATTCAACAGTAATGTTGATTATTCGAAAGCTTGCAAGGTTCTTAAAAATTAAAAAAGAGAGCTCAAAAATTTCCTTACATACCTTTTGTAATGAAACTTCTCATGACAAAGTCAATAATTACATTAATAATTATGAAAATGAATATAGATAACGATAAAAAATTTGTTGGTTTTACGTGAATTAATGAATAAATAATTTAAAAAAATGAACTAACCAGCTCGATTATTTTCCAAATTTAGAATTTTTTTTAATTTACAAATAATTAAAAACTTAATACTTTTTCCTTTTTTCGAGTAAAAACAATTTTTCTTCTTGTAAAAAACTTACTCATAGTTATTCAAAAAATTATTTTTACTATTGAATATTTTTTTTAATCAAGATAATATTTTAAATAGTTACCGCTGTTTTTAATACATCTATCTAGACAATCGCTACTGTTATTTGATACCATTACCCAAAACAATAGATCGCGCGACAATAGATTCAGTTCAATCGCTATATCGAAGCGTGTTGCTATACACGCGTCTTATAGCATTTGTCCTTTAATTATACATTATGATAATTTTTATTGCGCAATAAATGTATAGACATTATTTGTCTGAATATCAATTTACCACGTTTGATATTTTGATAACTATTGTGCTTTCATTTCACTACAAGTTGATCGTGAAATGCATTTTATGTTATTTGCGTGAAACGTAAGTAGCAATATATTTTAAACAACGTTGAATGTTAACCCTTATCCAAGTATAAACTAATACCCTTATCAAGTGACTAAAAGAAACAACAAAAATATCATGAGCAACGATAATAACAATACCAACAGTATGTACAATAACAATGATAACAATGATATGAAGAGAAAAAAATATCAACGGAAAAGACCTCGTCCACATTCAAGAAAATTTGCCTGGCGACAAAAGTAAGTTTTCATTAATTTCATTGATAATCTTTATTAATTTATTTATGATTTTTTTTTCTCTAGTATCTCTGACTAAGTATTAAAAAATATTCATTTTTTACTTTCAATCCTTTGTTTCGTTAATTAATAATTTCATCCTCTATCAACGGTGCTAGATTTTTTACAATATATATCTTATTGTTCTCTATTTATTTAGATATTATTATTGAGAGTCGTATTTGTCAAAATCAAAAAAAAAAAAGTTAAAATTCAATTGGACTCTCCGCTAAATTAATAATAAATAAAATGTGATTAAATTCATTTTTCATTTTTTTAATAATTTCCATGAGCTTGTCAATATTTCAATGTGATAGGATAATATTGGGTGACATTTATTCTAATTTTTGGAAAGATGCTTTCATAATAGTAAATCAACAATTCAAGAAATAAATCAAGAAATTCCCGATTAAAGAAGTTATGATTATTACAAACAATTTTATCATTTTCAGACAATCACAAAAGTTTTTGAACCAAAAAAAATTCATGTCGACCTAGATAGTTTGCTTGACTTCTATACTTTTCATGTTGGCTGATAATTCGCAAATTCTTCGGAATGCTATTCTTTGTTCTATTTAATTTCTTGTTCAGGTTACATAACAATTAGATTATTAAGTCACTTATTACATCCGTTGTTTCTCTAGCATTAAATAAATTGTAACAGGGTAAATTACCCTTAATCGATAAGGCGCCAGAGATCGATAACTTTGTCGACTAGTATTTTGGCGCATCGATCTTCGGCCCTAGAAAGAGAGTAGGAGGGGGTATTTCGGGGAGCTATTAAATAGCTGAGCAGCGCGTTGTGTCGAGAGAAGTGGTGTAGTGTTGAAACAAGTAACATCGAGGAGTCCAAGAAGGAAGCCATTAGCAACCAAAGAGTTCCTTCAAACCAATTGACGCCAGGTATTGGACTTTGGTAGTGTTGAGCCTTGGGGGTCACACCCGGCTCACGGAAAATACTACTTCTCATTTATTAGATTAATTCGGTAATTCAATTCGTCTTATAATATTCTATTTAATAT